TCCCATGTCCTATCGTGTTCTTTGGCCTGTTCCGACTAGTTACGCCAAATTCCAGTCGTTGGCGAGTTTCGCTCATTAGAGCTTCTGTCTCTTACAAGATTCCCATATATTCTAGAAGTATCTCTTTGTTCCCGTTTATCTGATTTATTGTGAGAGGTCTACCAGAGGCTTTAGCGAAAGCCGAAGTGGGAGGAAGATGAGCGAGCCACTTTTCTCACTATGTCTTCAACACGCATTAACAATCGTATTTCACAAAAATATATAAAACCTCTCTAATATCGATATCCCTGTACAAGGTGTCCCAGAAGTCACTTTACATGAGAAAAAATTGAATATTTCCATCATATTTTGACCAAATGAGGCGATTTTTTTTACTACTGATAAAGGTATGCTCATAGTTTATTTTCGTAAGAAAGACGTTCAGAAATACTGCCTTGACGTACCAATGTTGGCATCAAAAAAGAACCTGAACCTTTCATGAGTCTAAAACTTATATATCGACTACCTGACCAAAAACAAACGACATAGTTTGTAGTTTTGATCCATTCTCCACATTATTGTCATTTGACTTCATATTTATGCCACAGATACATGTGTTGTATCTCAAGAGGTTGCGAAATTTTCAGCCACAATTATAGCGAGCGTATTCTGTATTTGTGACGAGGATGTGAGGTGTGGGTGTGGGTGTGGGTGTGGGTGTGGGTGTGAGTGTGGGTGTGGGTGTGGGTGTGGGTGTGGGTGTGGGTGTGGGTGTGAGTGTGGGTGTGGGTGTGGGTGTGAGTCTTACTTTCACTCATACTCACCCACCCTCACACCCAAACCTGCCTAAATATTGTTCTTTCAAAAGCAATCTGGCTGTCGAGATATATATTGATTCCGTAAGAAAAATTCTTTGCCGTTGTCAAACAGTAAGGTGGTTCATCATTTGAGAAACATATGATGAAATTCAGATGCAGTTTAAGAAAGCATGAGGAAGACTTGCACGAATAACTAGCTATTGTCACATCCGCAACGGTTCCATGTGCTAAATATAGACGAACGCTATTTAAATTTGTAAATCGTGCATCAAATTGAGTATCACATCTAATAAGAAAATATGATTGTAAAATAACCTCTCGGAAAACAGAATCAATGTACCATGGACACTGACTCCAGACAGGTTCGATGCAACTTAGTAAGCAGAAAGGTGTTGATTTTGGCAGTTTTGAAAGATTTAATGTGTTCGACGAATATTTTAATAATTCTTCTTCTAAATCTTTGTTGTGTGTGAATAAATAACTACCATCGATTGTTTTTTTGTTTCATCACACTGAGCTTATCAAACAGTCGATACGGTTCTATATAAACTCCAAATGCTTGGTGAATGATTTCGCCAGAGTAGATGTTTAATTCGAGTTCAAAAATAAATGGAAAAAATGCGGCACTCATGTTAAAATAGCAAAAAGCAAAAGAAAAAGTTTTATATAAATTATAAATTTATAAATGAAAATGCCCACCAATGTTAAAATAGCAGAAGAGCAAAAGAAAAAGTTTTATATAAATTTTAAATTTATATAAATGAAAAGGTCTACCAATGGTAAAATAGCAGAAAAGCAAAAGAAAAAGTTTTATTTAACTATAAATTTATAAATGAGAAGGTGCACCCGCGTTAGAACAGCAAAAAAAGCAAAAGAAATAGTTTTATATAAATTATAAATTTATAAACAAGAAGGTCCACCCATGCAAAAATAGCAAAAAAAACATTCTACCCAAATGATTATTATAATAACAATTTTACTTTGCACATTACGGTGTACACAAAGACGAGCATGGGTCGCGACTCTTCGGGGGGCGCAAAGCGTCCCCACGCCGCGACGCAGAAATAAAAGGTCAGTTACGCGGAGAAAACCTGTCTTTGGCGGATGAGTAACAACTATGCCAAACTACAAATGGCTCTAGTATTATTTGAAGCAAGGTGAATACCAAAGTATACGCAATTGGTTAGCATAATTTTGCTTGTCACATTTGTAGCTACAATATACTCTCGAGGGCTACACGAAAACGGTTTCTGAGGAGTCCCCACTGGTGACTGAAACGTCTCAGATGTGTCTTCTATCTTTCCGCGTGATATCCGTGCTATCTTAAGTGACGCTAGTAGCACTTCATGTGATGGTTGTAGAATCTGAGATGATTCTAGTAGCATCTCAGGTGGTGCTTATAGTATCTCAGGGGTGTTATGAGTACTTCAGGCGATGTTACTAGTATCACAGACAATGCGCCTAGCAAGTCAGATGATGCTAGTAGCATCTCAGGTGATGTTAATAGTACTTCAGGTGAGGTCTATGGCACCTGAATCATGTATCCTCTCACTCATGAATTTATAATTTATATAAAACTATTTCTTTTGCTTTTGTGCTATTTTAACATGGGTGCCTCTTTTTTTTCCATTTATTTTCAAAGTAATTATGGACAGTTATGTCTCCATTTATATTCGAATTCGAATTAGGCAATTCATGACAACAACATATCACTTTTTATACTCATTTGATGATCTTGAACAATGGCGGAAAAGCGACGAATGAAAAATATATTTTATTTCTTTTCCATCTCCATATTGATAGTAAACTTTTTCTTTCGTTGACAGCAAAGCAAAAACAAGGATATGAGAATACAAGTCAAGGTCATAACCGTTTAATTGCACAAATATCATTCAACAAATGACATCCTGTCTAATCTGCTTGCCCGTAATGAGACATTCATCTTCCTGCTCATTGCCATGTTGAATGTGGACTAAGATGACTTCAATAGGGTAAAAGTTGTCATAAATAATCTGAATCTTATTGTACCATTTCGAAATACTTAGAAACATTTTTGACTACTTGTAGTCATAGTGTATTGATAAAGAATTCAATCATACAGAAATCATTTCTACTATGTAGTAATCGAGACATAAATGTCAACCAGCCATAGTTACAGTAATGATAAAACTCACTCATCACTCAAATTGGTAAAATACATCAGATGGACACTCAAAACTACGACGTTTCATCCAACATAAAATAATTTTTTTGTGATCAAATATTCCATTAGTTCGTTCGAGCACAATTTTATTGAAGAAATATGAATGTTACTTTTTGATAAATTACTTTTATTCCATTTTTTTTCTTTTCTTTTATATAAAATATTTTGTTCACCACTATGTGTATTTTATTTCTCTTCTGTTTTTCAAGTCAACATTATGTTGAGAGAAGAGGTTTGATGAAATGAAATCAAGAAAATGACAAAATGCATCAACAAAACTCGTTTTAATTTTTTTCTTCTGTTTGAAATCAAGAAATAAAACATTTAGAGGAGAAAAGAAGAGATGTAAACAAAGGAGAACGTTTGTAATCGATATGCACAGCACAAGATCCAGAAAAATGAACTTGAAATTTTAAGTTAATCAGATGGTAAGAGTGTTCGTATCTCAATATCTGCTTTCCTTTTTCAAATGAGGGTGTCCGTGTGAGTAGGTATGGGTGTTGACGTGGGTGGGTGTCGGTGTGCGCTAGTTTGCTCTGCTGCTAATCCACTAATACCCATATCCACACCCTATGAACAAAGTTGTTAATGAGATTAGTTGATTGTGCAACTTTTAGCTCTTCTGTTATTTCCTTTCTGAAGATGAACAAAATTTTCTTTTACATACGAGAGAATTTCGAATACTCCATATCTCAGGATAGGAGATATTAGAAAAGTCACAACTTGTCCAATGGACAAATCTCATTGAGAAGTTTGTTCGTACAAAGTTTGAAATATGATATCTCAAGGATAAAGACTTAGAAAACCAAATCGCTCTAGACTTTTCTATTACTCATTAGCACTCATGAAATAAACATCGTCTCAGTTGAAAAGTGGTTTGACACTGCGAGAGGTTCCCTTCCAATCGAAATATTTTTTGGAAAGAATACATATCAGAGAAAAGAATCATTTACTATAATGCGCTTCTCAACGAAGTTTCGAACTTTCCTGATAGAAAGTTTCTGGCTGCCAATAATTTCCTTAAGAAAACAGATATTAGATATAAACTCATAATTATAAAAACCGTAATCCGAACGATAATCGAACTTGACAATGAACTAAACCAGTTCATTTTCTGTAGTTATACAGTTAAAGATACATCTTCACATATAATATAGATGTTCTATTAGAAATACTTTTCCTTTATCAACATATCTATCAAGTAAACTATATGTTTTAGATAGAATATTATAAATTTTAAAAATAATAGTTCAATTCTATTCAAAGACTTTTTATTAATAGAAAAATGATACATACCTAAACAACTATTTACTATAGTTCTTATTTTTTTTCGTAACATATTCTTCCAAATTCTAATTGAATAAGTGATTCATCAGATATCATACAAAAAATAATTATGTCTGATCTGCATCAAAAATTTCTACATAGAGCACCAGAGAGGTTGTTTTTACCCGGTTCACCTAAAAGCTATAATTTGAGTGTAAATGTTCTACTACAATGCTTAGAAATATCTAGGATTGTAAGGTCTTCGGTATCTCTGTAATTCTTCATTTTTTTGACATTAATCATGCATCATTTTCAATATGAATTTTAAATTGTTACGAGGACAGTTTCGAACAGTCATTTTATATGAATGGAAATCGTACAGTTTTTAATTGCTTTCATCAATTTCCATAGTGAAGATGGTCTCCGTTCAGTTTGCCTTCTAACTGCTGTCAACAAACACATGATTGATACTGTTTGAACAATTATTGAAAATGATTTACATTCAACATACGAACAGAGAGAAGACATTGGTCAATTCAATAATTCATAACCAGATAAATTTGAGCAAAGTTTGCGCTCAACGAATGTCTCATCAGCTGATCGATGATTAAAAACAATCGCGTATTTAATTTTGTCGTCGGTCACTCAAGAGATTTGGAGAAGGTCATTCCCATTGTGCATTTGACAGTATTACTGATGCTGAATCATCGTTTTATCATTATGATCCGGAAGCAGAAGAGCAGTCAAAAGTTTAGGTGACAGAAAATGATCCACATCCAATCAAAGTTTATCGAAACAAAAGTACAGGGAAACGAATGGTGGCTATTTTCTTCATAGAACTCTGATTTAATCAAGTCTATACCATTAGAACTTGATGAGACAATAAATGGAAGTTGATATGTCAACAGCTGCCTATCACACATCTTCAAAATTGTGTCAGAATAGAGACAAAAGATCGATCTTTGAGGTGTCATTTGCCACGACGGCAATACAAGGTCGCATAGACCCTGAATTATCAACAAATTTTTGGTCGAAAACTATGTGTAATCATACCCAAATCCACATTATTCTCCAGATCTAAGTTCGTGCGACTTCTTCTTGTTCTCAAAACTAATAAATAAACTACGTGAGATTCTGTTCGACAATGACAATACAATTTTTGTATGCATTCGAACAAGTCATTGATAGTCTCACAACAAAAGACGATTTAAAAAACTATTTCGAGTATTGATTTATATTTGAATGCACAAATAGATTGATGCTGAAGGATAGTCTTTTGAAAAAATACGCTAGAACCAACCATTAAATATTTGTTTAAAGGGCTAACGAAAAAATTCATACTAAAACAAAATATGTCGCAGTCAGAATGTGTCATAATCTTTCTGCTAACTATTCGTTCACCATTTTGTTTTGTGTATACCTTCCTTTCTAGATTATTTCTTGATTAGTTATTGATTGAGAAGGAACTACGTTGAAATGAGCTTCAGATGGTTAGATCTCAAGACCTGATCGCCTGAACTTTAAGAATGGGTATTACTAATTCAAATGAAACTGAAAAGTAGTAATTATTCGCTTCTGTTGAAAAAAATGATAAACACAGTGAAGAGTAGATGCGAATCACGTTGTCAAAATGTATCACATCGTTGATGGACAGAATGCGTTTCAACGAGCACTTCGTGTCACACTTAAATGTGTCATATATTGTGTCACAAAGTACGATACATGTGATACATTTTATTTTAGAATGCTTTTCTAGTGTCCCATGTGTATTACTCAAATTCATATGTTCAAGGTTTTTTTGCGCATACATGACAGTTGCACTTGTCTATTTGATGGCGCATCATGCAACTGTCATGTCAACAATTCTATGAATGTTGTCAAAAGAGTTAAAGCAATTCTTCATTAAACTCAACAATCATGACTAAGTATTCCATACAATAAAAATAGAAATCATCATATTCTTTTTTTTTTGTTATATCATCATATCGATATTGAAAACATTCATGATATAATATTGATATTAATTATTCATAAGATAAGTTTTGACACTCTCATGCAATATTTTTTTTTCACATGTTTCTCTATTGATCGAACCTGATATTCAAAGTAGACACACTAAACGTCGAGATCCACTCTATGCTAGAATTTCAGTTTTTTGCGTATTATTGTTACAGAGATACAAATGATATGAAAATCATCATGAATGAGAAAAATTGTAGTTCTTCGATCCTTCCTATTCACTATGGAGTAACATTTGCTTTTCTGCATGTAACTCTTTCGTTCTGTAATTTGTCTACGCCACTAGGAATGGGAAAAATGTATACGATGTCTTTATCTCTCGTGATCGTAATATGCAGAAACAACAAAACATACGAAAGAATTACATGAAGACCAAATATATAAACATTAATGAATGATTTTTTTTATGTTCGATTATTTGTTTTAAAGAAATTCGATTTGTAAATTTTCTTTCGAACACTACCTGTTATGTACCATTACTAATAAAACATCACAAAAGATATCAAAAGTTTTTATGACTTCTAATATGTATACTGTGAATATCAGGCTTGGGAAATATAAAAACATGTGAGAAAACAATATTCTATGACAGGAATCAAAGCTTATTTTATCTCCTTTAATTGCGATATATTTTTATTATCCTTACAAAAAACTAAACATTGTTTTCTTTTCGATACTCTAAAAGGATTAGTAATGTTACTCAAAAGAATATTTGTCATAACATTCTTTATTATTACTCTCATGTGTTTATCTGTTGGCCATCGTACTTAAAACAATAGAAGACATTCGTCAACATTTTTCAAGGATATATATATATATATATATATATATGTATATACGAGAGATAATAAATTAGAAATCTGACAACAACATATCATATTAATAATCACATGATTTTTGGGGAAATCATTTTTAGATTAATATGAATTTAATAATGTGGTATTACATTGATTTTTATCTATATCAACAACAACAAATAAACAAGATTGAATCAACTAGATATTGTTCTTCATATGTATAGACTAGGAAAGTAATGACAGATGTTTGTAAGAGTTGGTCATATAGTAATAATATTTCTTATCATTTATTTTATAATTAGCACTACATGTGTCTTCAAAATTTGTATATTAATATGTATAGTATTTATCTTGATCAAATATGAGCACAAATAATATATTTGTTTTTTTTACATTTGATCAATTACTCATACACGAAGAATAAAATATAAATGTTCGATATTGATCAAGAAAACAACACAACATAGATGAGTTGAAGTAGTAGAATAATTTAAAATCAATATAATCATCCGATGAACAACATAATTTAGTTTATCTTGTCTATTTGCAAACATCATTATTTCTTAATTCAAATCGTTTCTTCTCATTAATACCGACAACAACAATTACTAGTCGGCTCGACGACGATCATATGTATTTTTCAACTTACTTAATCACCGGAAAAAGAAAAAAAAAAACTTATCTTCATAATACTACTACAACGATTCAACATGTTACTCTATTTCGGGATACATGTGCAATCGAGTTGATTTATATTTTAGAATAATTGTCGATTCTATATTTTCTATGAGAATGTGTTACCGTCTTATGTGCTTAATTAATCTACGGGCGAATACACATATCTATTCTTCATATCAAGCGAAATAAGCGCAATTATAGAAGAGAAAAACGAGAAGAGAGAATTGTTTCGGAGGAGTTTTTTTTTTTCTATTTGTGTATCTATTGGAGAAAGAGAGAATACTCTATATTTGATAGCTAGTGCAGTTCTAATAATCTTCAGTTAATGTTACGAATAGTCGACAGAAAACAACAAGAAAACTAAAGCATATCCATATATATATATATATATACATATAAAAGAAAAATAACTATTATACAGAAATTTGTCGTTGTTTTGGTTTTGTTTATATTTGTTTTATAACAAAGCATAATTCATTCAAGTAAGTATTATATTGTAGTATTATTCAAACATATACACATATATATATATATACATATAATATACTTTATTTAGCATGGATCTTAGACGTACAATTATAATTCTTATGGCATTAGCTTGTGTGATAAATGTAATTGGTGTCATTCACTGTCATCTTAATTATCCATATAATTCGACATTGTCTGCATACCGTATAAGCTATTCGATTATCTTTCCTATATGTAAGTCAAATAGAATATCATTTGAATTGTATATGTTCTTTTTTCTTTTTTCTTTTTTTGTTTATACATAGTATTAGCTTTGACTGGTTTTCTTCTAATCGAACAATTGATAATTACAGACGGAACAGTTGCACCGCTCAATCGTTTTCGAACTATTTATGCTTTTGTTGCTGCTATTGTTCTTTTTAGTTTTGGTATTGGGGCATCAGTTTTAGCTAGTCGTTGGTATGATTCTTCTCCACAAGATGCTTATCATCATAGTAAGATTTATTTTATTTGATATAAAACTAACAAAAGAAAAAAAAAACATTCTTCTATTAGGTGCTGTTATTGCTTCTGTAGTTGCTTTTGTTGGTATGACAGTTTATTTTGCTGAAGCATTGGCTCGTCATCGTAAAAGTCGTATCATCTAAATCATGGACATTTAATGAAATAATTTTAAAAAAAAAAGAAAAGATAAAGACTAATTATTTGTCGTAAATATATATATATATATATATCCTCGATTATTGTCATATTTAGTAACAATTGTTCTGAATATTTTCTTGGTCGTACTATATTTTATTTTACATATCAAGGCTTTTGTTCTTTTTCTTTTTATTTGAACAAAAAGAAACGCAAATTTAATTTAAACTTTATGAAATCTTGTTACTGGTATAAGATAAAAGAAAATATTTGTAACGACTCAGCTTATCAGAGTTAATATTGATGTAAATATAAGAGATCATAGACAAGGAAATTGTTATTATTCTTAGAATGAATATTCACATGGGAACTTTAGATCAAATGTTATAAACATTCATTAATACACTCCATGTTTTCATAGAGAATTCTATCTATAATTGATTCTATTTCAAGTATAACACTCATCATTGGTTATATTTAGTAATACTGAAGTAGTTTTATAATGAGACATTATTGATAGACAGGATGTGGTCGCATATGAACAACATTTGTCATAATCTGTGTGGAAGAGTTCAAATTTTTATTCCTATACTTCTTTTAGATCGTGTTTCATAAAATAATCGTAGAATCCTAGCTGATTGCGAATACTCTCATATGTGTAATTCAAAACAAGTATTAACAGAGATGTTTCAGAACATATAATTTCATCAAATATTGATGCACATAAAAAAGGAAAGATTCTTTTAATTACTTAAAATCGAAATATTGTTTATCAAACGAATGTTTTATATTCGTTGTGTTGTTTTTTTTTTTTCTTTTCAAATGTAAGTTTATACAAGAAGATAATCAAAAAACAAAAAGTTTCCTAAAAAAAAACAAAACAAACGAAAAAATGAACACAAATATAAAATGTTTTTTTGTTTTTCTATGTACAATCTGCCATCACCAGGAACATATTAAAAAAAAACAAAGGTCGCACAATTAGTTTAATAAATATTTTTATTTTATCCACGAAATGCACGACCAAATATTTGACTAGACTAATCATAATATCGTGCTTTAACTCGACTAAAAAAGAAACATCACTGTTGTTAATAAGATGAACATTTTTGTTTTGTTTGCTCATTTATACAAGATAACCTTCACTAGTCAACAATGATTTTGATGGTATAAATACAAGTTCAGATTGTATACGATTTAAACTATTTAATAAACGAATTTGTTCATCATGTGTAATATTATTATTACCAATAAAAATTTTTAAATCTGATGAATTAAAATGACATATTTGTGAAAGATTTGTATAACCAGCATTAATAAATAAACATATTAAACGATCAAGTTCAAGATTATGAAACCAATCATTAATTGATGTTATTTGAGCAATATTTGGTTGATCAGGATGATTGACAAAAAGGAATCTTTAATATAAAAAAAGAAAAAATTATCAGATTAAATTTTTCTTTACATATAAAAAATATTTTTTCTAAGAAATGTGTATGTCAGATCATTATGACCATCGAAATTCTTTTATGTATTTCTTTTACTATATAATATTATGTACTCATTATTCGAATTCCAGGTCAAATAAACACGATCGTTAATGGTCGTTGGATAGGCATAGTATTACGACTGTATTGTAAACGATCAGATACTCGATTTTCAGATCATTATCAACTGTGCACGACATGATAAGAAACAATATCGTAATATGCCGCCTACCAAACGTCAATTTATAATGACAAACTCTATGAAACGACAGTATACATTACTGTTTTAGACTGTCTTATCGACTGTAATTATCATCCTAAGATCGTTATTTCTATAGATAAACTCATTTTCAGAGCCGTAATTTGAATTCTATAATTATATGTAATAGATCTATGCTATGATAAATATAAATGTTTTATAAAATTCCCTATCATAATATTTTTCTTGTTTACGATAATTATGATATCAATATTTAATTAAAGTAACGAATAATCAAAAGATGCAATTCGATAAAATATACATTCAATTTTCAGCCTCTCAAAAGAGCTTGCAGAATGTTTTTTTTGTTACTTCCGAATATAGGCTCAACATTTCTTTAGAACTTCTGGTTTTCGAAGTTATGATGAATCGATTTTTTAGAGACGCGAAAATCAAGTCCAGACAGGGAAAATTTGACGTCATATCTAGTAATTATCTCTTTTATTGCATATGTTATATTACCAATTTTGTGTAACACGATTGTTGATTCGATAAATAAATCAAGTACATTTTCTAAATTTCCAAGTCGGTCTCTATACAACGGTAAACAATATTTTTTTAGTCTTCGCGTTGAACTTCTGAGAAAAAAAGATAATATTTTTTTTCTAGTGCCGTTTGAGCGACTAGTCCTGTAAAATGAGCAATCCAGCCTGCAGATTTTTCCAGAATGTTCTTCTATCTACTTTCTCTAGTCTCTGTTAGCATAAATATCCCGGAACTGCACAGTGAGTTTCCAGAAAATCTAAATTTTTCTAGCTTTTGAAAAATATTTAATCGACAAGAATAGTATATTCGGAATCAGTGCATTAAACTGCGTCGAATGGCATATATAACACAAAACAATTTTGAAAAAAAACATTTTCTCGAAAAGTGTCCGCCTCAGGCATTTTTCATCGAAGAACCTTTTTTTCTTAAAAATGCTTCTCTGCGCTATATCCAATCATTTCTAAGCAAGAAAGTCACATGTCCGCTTGCCAGGCGAAATATATACACTGTACCTCGTACGTCATAGACGTTGTTGATATATGATCAAAGACTGTATATAAATAAAGTCTCGTTATAATACATGAACTATTTCCTTATTGTAATTCTGGAAGATTAAGTAAAAGAATGATGAAGAAATGTGTCCTCAAAACATTCTCCCTGCGAGCAGTTGAATCATATTTTTGATATTTTAATTCTGCAGAAATTGTGCTAACAGGTTTTTATTGAATAGAATTCAAGGCGAAATGATTCTCTATATAGTGACATAAGGATCAAGAGTTTCAGAGCAATTATTTGAAAATGACCGAACTTGTTTTACAAGTCTATTTCTCATAGGAATCGAGAAAATTGACATAGTGTACCTTACTGAAACACCCACTGTTGACAGATATCTTCCAGCAAACTAATCATTAACATACCATTTTATAGACAAATGTTTGCTCTTTTATTCGCTGTATCTGAAATAATTTTTCCTTCTACATTGGATAAACTTTGACATCCCGAAGCTCGTCCAAATTCAATTGACTAACTTCGAAATGGTTGGTTCATAACTCTTAAAAACCAGAAGTCTAACAAAAATTTTCGAAGTGATAATTCTAATTTATTGTTTTCAAAATTCTGTAGACTCTTCTATTATCAATATTCTTCTTACCTTTGTTTCGCTAATGGAAGAAGATGATTTGGTAATTGAATATATTGTGTTAATTGTTGAACAATTTCACTAAACTTTGGTCGTTCTAAATATTGTTCATTCCAACATGCAAGCATTAATTTATAAAGTACATCAGGACACCTCTACAAACAAGAATATTTTCTAAAACAAAAAAAATTTTTTTTTCTTCATAACAAACCATAGGTGGTGGAAGACGAAAAGAATTTTTAACTGCTTTAATTACATCTTGATTTGACCAATTCCAATAAGGTCTTTCACCAAATGAAATAACTTCCCAACATAATACACCAAAACTCCATACATCAGATGCTGATGTAAATTTCCGATAATCGATTGCTTCAATAGCTGTCCAACGTATGGGAATTTTTCCACCTTTTGTTGTATAACTATTATCTTCATCAATTTCACGACTTAAACCAAAATCAGCTACTTTACATATAAGATCTTTATTAACAAGAATATTTCGTGCTGCTAAATCCTATTAAATAAAACAGAATCAACAATTTTCTTTTTTGGTAAATTAAAGATCAAAGGCGCATAAGAGTCATTTTTGAGGATATCTTTAGCTTTAGTTGATTTATGGTATTATGCGATGTAGAATACCATAAGGAATTGTTTGATAACAAAATAAAGCTATTTTCGACGAGTTCCAGGATACACTTTTGTATTATAAATGTATGATTCACACATCGAAATATCAGACAAACGACAATCAATTCTATAGGGGTCTAGCCAAAAAATAAAATCAATCAAAATCCCATATGGACAATTGAAAAACAAATTCTGATCTTGTAAAATGATAATAGTACACAAAACAACAGATGACTGCGTATTAGAAAATGTCATTATCATTGACTTCATTTTTTGACTGAATTCTGAGGGAGATGATCAGCGGAAAATTTTTCAACGAAAATAAAAGTTATCCGAACTAAGGTCAACTCACTTGTTGATGCTGATTTCAAATATTTTGTTTATTTTGACAAGAAAAGTAACGAGTCTAATAAAAATTAACAAATATTAGTCAAAAAAATGGCTAAAGTCTCGACTCTAAACATATGACCATACCTTTTCCTGAACAAATTATACATGTTCTTATAGCTCGTTATGTATTCTGCTAGCGCTGAGATTTTAGCGAAATGTACATTTTTATTTTCTGAGACATATGGTTCTCAAGATCGGCTAGTGATCGTAAAAATCCATCGATTTGAACTGCTGAAACGTTTTTTTACCCATTCATCCTCGGCTCAACGAAAGATCATTTATTTAATGTTTTAATACCCAAATGAAGCTCAAATCATGCTCTATTGGCCAGATAATGATTGAGTTCAGTGGCTTGTGACATCATCTCATATTTTTTTTTATGCAAAGATTCCTCATGAAATTCCATATTAGATAATACATCATTGTAGGAAAACTAAAAATGACTCTTATGCATTTTGATCGTTCTTTTTTTTTTTGATTCAATTTACTCGATGAATATATTTCATTTCTGATAGATATTTCATTCCAGATGCAATACCACATAACATACGTGTTAATTGTAATGCATCAAGACATTTATTTCCTTCATTTGCCTAAAATAATTCATATGATTAATGTAATAATTTAATTCATTTGTTCTTTTTTTCTTTTTTTTTTATTTACTCGAAGATAAGTATCTAATGAACCATTTTCCATATATTCAGTTACAATCATAATTGGATGATGTTTTGTAACAACACCTTCCAAATAAATAACATTTTCATCATCAAATTGTCCCATAATACTTGCTTCAGATAAAAAATCTAAACGAGTTTTATCTGTTGCACCTTGTTTTAATGTTTTTATTGCTACAAGAATATCTTTCATCATATTTATTGTACGTAATTTACCACGGCAGACATCACCAAATTCTCCTATTTTTAATAAAGAATAAGAAAAAAAAGCTTCATGATGATCATGCAATTAATACACACACACACACACACACTATCTCTTCTTTTTTAATGATCTCTGATATGATGATAAAGATTCATGAAACAATGTCTTGATTCATTAGTATCAAATGGAAGTCTCGATTGCTCTTACATAGAAATGATGAAAATTGTATAAAATAACAATGTTACATAATAGATAGAAACTTTTAACTTGCATGCATATATGCATACCTCCACCAATGACGGATTCTATGACAATTAAATTTGGATCAAGTTCACGTGCAAAATCTTTGACTGCTTTTGTTGGATCTTCATACTAAATAAATATATATATATATATATATATGATAGAATTTAGTTTATATTTAATAATAAAAACAGACTGTATGAGGATCAATATAAGTCTTTGCTGTTGTTGTAATTGAAGGCCATAATGGTGCTGTCCCTGAAATATGAAGAGAGTATTTATAGATCACACTAAAAATGTTTATCTTTCTTGATCGTGCAGGGAAGATGAACAAATTAACTGTTCAATCAATTTATCTTCATCATCTATCCGTATAGTAAAATGTCAATGAATACTTACAGCCTGAATTGAAGAATGCATCAGGTCCATAATTACCACTTACTAGAAATGAAAAAAATAAATGAAATATACATATATTTATATATAGTCTACGAAGTATTAGACAATCTAATCTATTATATTTAAGTTTATTAGATTATTTATAGAATATAACATCATTGATCGATAGTATATTTGTAACAGATCATATCTCTTTTTCGACTTTTTTTTTTGCTCTATACTGACCTTGTCGTTTTTGATAATCTAATGATTCACAATCACTTGCTGTTTTTAATTGACATAAACG